CTAGACTTATACTTTATAGACCAATCGGTGCTCGGTTATTTATGTACTTGCCATCACGCAAACTTTACTTCCCAGGACATTACCTGGTACCCATTAAGGGCTGGGTCGACATGCGAGCGAAGATCATTCTTGAAAAAGTAAGGATTTGACAGGACTAGAATTCACTACCTTAAAAATGTATCAAGAAACACAATTTGAAGAGAGAAAAAAAAGTATACACATGGTAATGCTGGCAGAATGTCTTGCTTTCGTTTCGACAGTGGTACTGAGAGCTGACCTCCCAGAAGGCAATGGCAAACTACTGAACATAACATTTGCCTAGAAAAACCACAACTGCTATAATATGCTGGGATGTGTCTGCGACGTCCTGTAAAAGATACGTTACTAACACTTTAATCCCTTACACATTTTCTTGCGGTTAAAGGGGGGCAGGGGCAAAGTGATCTAGCGGCTAAACGCTCGCCTGCGGATCGGAAGGTAGTGGGTTCGGTCAGGGGCCGGGCTTTTTAAAAAATGACTTTGCTCTCTGGTCGACCCAACCTGGAGTGGGTACCAGGTACAGTCCTGGAAAGTAAAGGCTGCGGGCGTGATGCTTACCTCATCACCCACCCACCAAGTTCCGCTTGATCTATAAAATATAGATCTAGCTCTATATACCCAATGTGCTTGAAAGGCGTGCAAAAGGGCCCTTTACTTTTAATTTTTCTTGGGCGGGGTGGGGGGGGGGGGGTGCTCAATGTTTGAGAGTCCAAAGGATCCTACCGCCCTTGATAGCTAGCCTGCTTGAAGACTACATTTACCCATTTACAGCCAAATGTAGTTTGTTATGTTCATTACCACGATGAGAACACAAGCTCCAGGAGTGTGAAATTAGCGTGTAAACTGGTTCTTTGACATTTCTACTTTGGACGACCACGACAGCTGGGCGAGAATGAGGCTCTCTGGGGTAAACTGGAGAGTACGGATGACATTTTCTGACCTACAAGAAGTAACAAATTGCATCCCTCTCACGGTCTAACTTTTTTCTCTTTATCTCTCTCTCTTTCTCTCTCTCTCTCTCTCTCTCTTTACATCCAACTTGCTACGCACAATTAATGTCTCTATTTTCTGTCTGCCATTCTCTGTCAGATGATCTATTTGCCTCTATGTTGGTCAATTTATATCTTTATGTGTATTTGACCCTATATGGGTTCCTATCTCCATCTCTACTTGTATGTGTGTCTGCGTGTCTGTGTGTGTGCCTGTGTATATGTATGTATGCGTATGTGTTTGCGTTTGTGTTTCCGTGGGTGTGTGTCTGAGTGTGTGCCTGTGAGTATGAATGCCTGCGTATACTTTTGCGTGTGTGTGTGTGTGTGTCTGTGGTTGTGTCTCTGTGTGTGTATGTGTCTGTGTGAGCATCAGCGTGTGTGTGTGTCTGAGATTGTGTGTGTGTGTTTGTGTGTTCCGAGTGTGTCTGTGTGTGTTTGTGCATATGTGTGTGCGTGTGTGTCCGCGTGTGTGTCTGCGTGTGTATCTGTGCGTTTGATTGGGTCTGTGCGCGTATGTCTGTTTGTGTAGGTAGGTTTGTATGTGGGTGAATGGGGATTGTGTTTTTGTGTATGAGATTATGTGGGTGTGTTTAAGTGAGCTGGTAGGTGTGTGTCTGTGTGTGTGTGTGCGTGTGTGCGTGCGCTAGTGTGTGCATGCATTTTACCACTCATGCTTTTTTATTTGTTTCTTACTTTTTAATATTCATAATATGCATATTATCATATGAAAATAACATGCTTACTGGTAAAATATAGCTGCAGTGTAAAAGACGGGTGTTTGGAATAGGCCGAATGTAAGACGGGCCTGTGTTCCCAATTTGTGACCCTTTGGAAAAAAAGTTCGTTCGTTCGTTCGTTTTTTCGTTCGTTCGTTTGTTTGTTCGTTCGTTCGTTTGTTTGTTCGTTCGTTCGTTGGTTCTCTCCCAGTCTCTCTCATTATTCATATATCGCTGTATGTCTATCTGGTTATCTCTCTACGCCTCTCCTACTATATAAACATATATATCTGTCTTACTATCCGTTTGTTTCTCTTACTCTCTATATGTCTCTCCTTGTTTCTTCCCGCCCCTTTCTCTCTTGACATTTTCTCTCCTTCCCCCCCCCACCTTCTCTCTCTCTCTCTCTCTATGTCTCTCTCTCTCTCTCTCTCTCTCTCTATGTCTCTCTCTCTCTCTCTCTCTCTCTCTCTATGTCTCTCTCTCTCTCTCTCTCTCTATGTCTCTCTCTCTCTCTCTCTCTCTCTCTCTCTCTCTCTATGTCTCTCTCTCTCTCTCTCTATGTCTCTCTCTCTCTCTCTCTCTCTCTATGTCTCTCTCTCTCTCTCTCTCTCTCTCTCTCTCTATGTCTCTCTCTCTCTCTCTCTCTCTCTCTCTCTCTCTCTCTCTCTCTCTCTCGTTTATTACTCCAGGTCTATCCCTCTACCGCCAAATCTCTGTCAGCTGTATATACTTATCTCACTCAAGAGGGGTGCATGGTCTCGAAGCATGGTGTCCGCCTGGTGTGCTAGAGGTTCCGGGTTCAATCCCCAGAGTTCTAGTTATTCCCCCTGGTCTCTGGGTAGTGAGATCGGACGCCCGCGTGTATTGTGGGCACATACAAATTCTTTGGCAGTCGGAAATCGAGGAGAGTAGCCTGACTGCGCTGCCTGGGCAAAATTTGTAGTTAAAAATTTACCCAAAGTATTTCAGGATCATCGCAGGTGCTACAGAGTATATGCACTGCGCTAAGCTTATCCGGACTCAGTCCTGAGTAAGAAGAAGAACAGGGCACTTATGGGTTAATACCCATGTGCCATGATGTCGATCCGTTGTTCAAAACCTCAAATACCTATGTCACTCGCCTAAGGCAAAATCAGTACTTGAAGCACTCCAGTCTAGGAAACTACCAGAATTGCAAACACTGCTGACACAACTTAGCTTTCAGCAAAGAGTTGTAATGCAGTGGATACCATTACATTGTGGAGTGCCTGGAAATGAGAAAGCTGATCAACTGGCAGGAGAAGGTGCGACAAAAGTGCAGCCGGGTGTACCAGTCACGTACCACCAAAAGAAAAGAATCATTAAATCAATCAGGAAACAACCAGCCCCAGCACAAGACGACTATTTTATTTTCGAAAGATCAGAACAAGTCATTATCCTCTGCCTCAGAACAGGGCACAACCGATTACGTAACCACATGTACACAAAATTCAAGATAGGCGTATCAGCCATGTGCACCTGTGGAAAGGTGCCCCAGACAGCAGAGCATGTACTCCAGGACTGCACCGAATTTGACACATTAAGGCAAAACTTTTGGAAAGAAAGAACAACAGTGGAACGTAAACTTTATGGACCACTGAATAAATTAACAACAGTGAAAGTTTGTACAAGAGACAAAATTGCTGATATAGACAACTTATTTCAGGCGAACGAAAGAAGAAGAAGAAGACTTGCCTGACACATCTTTTGATTTTCCGGTCTCTCTATCTCTCTCTACTATGTTGACAGGTAACTTGTCTCTCATCACTGTTTGCCTCATTATCTCTCTCGTCTGTTTCTTTGTCTCTGTTTCTATGTCTCTCACTCTCTATTTACCTCATTATGTCTTCCGTCGGTTTCTTTGTCTCTAACTCTCTATCCCAACATGTCTGTCTCGCTCACTCTCTGACTCACTGAGTCTGTCTCTCTCACTCTCTTGTCTACCTCTTACTCTGTGTTTTTAAATGTCTCTCTTAACTGTCTCTCTTCCTCTATTTCTGTCTCTCTTTTATTTTCTATATGTCTCAATGCCCGTCTATCTCACTCTGTATCTGCCTTTCTGCGTATATTTCTGTTTCTCTTGTCTCACCGTCTCTCTCACACCGTTTATCTCAATTTCAGTTAGTTTCTTTGTGTCTCTTTCTCTGTGCCTCACTTTCTCTGTCTTACTCTGACTCTGTATCTGTCTTGAGAAAACAATAATAAATTGAAAGTGAGTCTATTGTGAAGACAATGTGTCCGTGCTGGAGAGAAAACACTAAGAAAACACCATAACAACATAGTTAGAAACTTCTTTCGATGCGACAGAAAACACAGTATCAATGCGTTGAGGGCAGACACAAAAAACACATCGAGACGATAATTCTAGAATAAAGCGGAAAAGTCGAGAAGAACTTAATGTGAGTTATGCGCAGTGGCTATGGATAAAGCAACTGATGCAAGTTAGTCGAAGAGATCTATTCAATGATAAAGGGCAGGATTAAAAAAAATTATAAAAAAAAAAAAAAAAACATTTTCGGAATATTTTCATCGCATTGCAATGTTACCCGCAAATCGCGTGTCTTCAAAACATTAGCCCGGTACAGGAAACAGTACACAAATCTATCACTAAAATTGTATCAGACAAACAAAAAAAAATAGAAGCTTTTAAAAATAAGAATTCATAACAAGCCACACACACTGGGCTAAAGGTTGGGTACCTAAATATAATATACGTCTAACTTTTGAACGGAGTTTCCAAGATCGTACATGTTTGATTTCGCTCAAGGAGATCAGAAGAGGGGTGAGGAAGGGCTGTGGGTGGATTTGCAGAAGAAGATGAAGAAGAAAAAGCAGAAGCAGGAGAAGCAGCAGCAGCAGAAAAAAGAAAAAGAAGGAGAAAAAAGAAAGAAAAGGAGGAGAAAGACGAAAGAAGAAGAAGGAGGAAGAAGAAGGAAGACAAAGAAAAGGGAAGAAGAAGAAAGAAGAAGAAGAAGAAGAAGAAGAAGAAGAAGAAGAAGGAGGAGGAGGAGGAGGAGGAGGAGGAGGAGGAGGAGGAGAAAAAGGAGGAGGATGAAAAGGAGGAGGACAATAACGATGAGGAGGAGGACAATAAGAAAAAGGAGAAGGAGAAGAAGAACAGGGAGGAGAACAAGAAGAAGAAGAAGATGGAGACGATAGAGAATTCGGAAGATGATGAGGAGGAAGACGAGAGAAGAAGAAGAATGTCAGATATACAGATGGGCTGACTTACTTTGTGGATGTGTCGAGCAGATGATCTTGCCAGCAGATAACTGACGCTCTCTACGTCATTTCCGGTAACCGCCATCTCCAAGGCCGTGCGACCTTGTTGGTCGCAGCAATCAACTTTGACCTTGCCGGATTCCAGAAGATCTGTTCAAAGAACATCATGCATGAGAATGACGTGCATTGATAGCTTTAGATACACATAGAAACACATAAGATACATATGACATGTTACAAGTAAGATGCAGCGATCTTGACGAAAACAAAAACGTTTGGAAAACAATACCGCGAAGGCTTAAACAATTTTATAGGGTCAGGCTGGGAAAGGCAAAAGTAATAAGCCATGTTAAACGGCTTAATAATAACGATGATACTATTAATGATGATAATAATATACTGACAGTCAAATAAAATGATACATGTTTAGAAGGAAAAAAAAATAAAAAAAGATAACTTCTCTACATGGCTGTTAAAAAAATGTTAATTGCGTATTCTTTACAGGACGTTGCAGAATCAACCCTAGCATTTATGGGCTCTTGTAGTTTTTCTAGGTAAATTTTACGTTTAGTAGTTTGCCACTGGTATTGAACGGTCAGCTCTCAGTACCACTGTCGAAACCACCGCAAGACAACTCGTCCGCAGTAGGGATTGAACCCAGCACCCCAGCATTACAAAATGGCTGTAAGGAAAGGAAATATTAGCCGCCTTTTAAACTGGGGGAGAAAATCCTGAACGGTCCCAATTTAAGTTCTCCAAAAAAGTCGAAAAGGTAAAGGATTAAAAACTTTTTTTTTCAGTCCCAAGCACTTGATACTGTCACCTCTTCTATTCCAATGATTTTGGATTAAAAACATTGTTTATCAAAGTCTGGATAAGTTCATCAGAAATCCCATTTGACAGAAGTAGTTTAACTTATAATTCAGATACGAAAAGTCATACAATGCAGACTTTAGAAGTTCACCTTTAACCCAAGATAGAATTCTTCTTATTAGAAATGTCGTTTATCCGGATAAGCGTCCAAACGAGGGAAAATGCATCGGATAAACAAATTGTTCTTTACAAAAAGCAATATCCTGTTTGAGTTCAATGACCCAGTTATGGGGAAAACAAGAATAGACCCACTGCCTCTCCAACATAATTTAAATATACCAATCAAATCTCTTTCTCAAATGTTAGTGTATTCTAGACAAAGCATCGACGGTCTGTTGTGCTTGTAAATTGTTGCTGTGTTTGTTATTCGAAGAATAATATTCGTTAATATAAATTTCGGAAACCTATGGGACCATTTAAAAGTTTGAGATGAAGTCTGTCCTTATTCCATAGTTGTGGATTTCAAGCTGTGCGATAGACGTGGCCAATGAAGACACCATATTTGGAGTGCCTAGTTGGTCACTTGTTGCTATTGCGAGGCGGAGGCGCTTTTTGGAGGTGACAGGTTCGATTAGCGGCATGGTAACTACAGCTTTTGATTGTTATGTTGTCTAGTATGTTATTCTATCTTTCAACGTCTTTCTATGAGTGCCGATCAAAACCTAATCTGTTTATAATGGATATAAAATTATATACTATAGAAGACTGTTCTTAATTTAACGCGGGCGGGTCTTGCTAGTCACACTCGCCATCGCCATGGCTATGACATAAATTAACATTATCGGGTGGAAAGACGGAAAGGTGCCAAAAACAACATGCTTTTCGCGCATTAGGCATATGAGGTTGGACTCATTTTTAAAAAACTGATTTGACCCTTGATGGTTGATGTATCAAATCCCCACGACCTTTGGAGTAACAGGCTGAGTGAGAGAAGGGACCAGACTCTTTGGTCGTGAGCTGTTCAGGAAAGGAAGCTCGCACAAGCGAACTAACAACTTCACAGGATGCTTTCTTACAAACATATTGTTACTTTTGCTTAGGCAACTCATTTTCTACAATACTGCCCAATCCCTTGCCTTTACTGGTATCCCTATGGTCTGTGATTCCCATGCCTATGTATAGAATACTGAAACACTGTTGTCTGGAATGAAAAAAATGGTGTCAACAAAACCAGCACGCGATGGAGCGAGAATTATTGGAGACCATCGTAATAATTGGTTAAGATAATCAAGATGTGCAGGAGCAATGCATAAAAATATGATAGGGGTTTCTTCTTGTTCTTGTTCTCGTTTTCTTCTTCTTCTTCTTCTTCTTCTTCTTCTTCTTCTTCTTCTTCTTCTTCTTCTTCTTCTTCTTCTTCTTCTTCTTCTTCTTCTTCTTCTTCTTCTTCTTCTTCTTCTTCTTCTTCTTCCCGTTCTTCACCAGCTGTAGCCTCCATCGAAAAGTGGTGGTTGTTCGTTCACTTCTAGACATTCAGTCATGTTTTCAGAACTGGAGTTTTCCATACAAATCTGATATAGAGACATGTCTTATTTGTGTACATGATTGCTGACCTCTAAAAAGCAGATATACCCGACATCGTAGGAAACATCTCTAATTAGTTGCCTTTGACCACGCTCTTGTTGGAGGGGGCAGCAAGTGTTCTTTTTGAAATCAGGATGAGGCCTTGGAATCCCACAAGCCACTAGAGGAATACACTGTATTCCAGAACGGTGTTTTACAGAAATATGATAATTATCACTGATCTAAATAATAATTTAAAAAAAAAACAGTAAAGTAAATTTAAAGTAGGGAGATGTAAACCAGCGTCATTGCACAGGTTATAAACCATACGTGCTCTGCCATCAGTACAGACAGCTGATAAGAAACTGTCCGCCTGTGTCGCCGTCCACACGTAACTCCGTCGCTACAGCGACGTTCCTCCATTTACCCCAGAAAGTAAAGCACCAATACTTGTGAACTAGAATTTACATCTACGTCAGCGGCTTTCAACCTTCTTAACGCCTCGACCCTTTCCTACAGTTCCCTCATGTTGTGGCGACCCACAAACAATTATTTTCTTTCATGAGTGCAATGAATATGTGTTCTCCGATGGTCTTAGGCGACCCCTGTGAAAGGGTCGTTAGATCCACACAAAAAAAGTGTCGCGACACGCAGGTTGAGACCCGCTGATATACGTCATATTGCGTGGAACACAGTGATGATTGTATAGGATAACAATTAAACGATACGAGAACAGTACGAGCAGGATACGTCAACGCCTCGGGGTGAGAAATCTAATTCACATCGATGAAAAATTAACCAGACAAACATGGTATTATACACTTATGGTATTTATTCTGCAATTTTGACTTCCATATCCTGTTCTATCTGTCTGTCTGCCTGGTTTTTTTGTCTTTCCATTTCATGTTGCTACTTGATTTGGCCACCCCTGTATCTCAGAGAACTATGTCAAGAATAGACAGACACAGAAGAGGAAGGAGGACACATACGAGAAAAAAGTTAACAATGACGATATTGATGATGTAGACAAAGAAGATAAACCAATTAAAAGAAAGGTAAAGTAAAAGTAAAAATCCCTTTTTCGCCTTTAGGCGCATAGGGCATTTGGGAAGAGCACCCATATTTTTCAGATCAATCGGCACTAGATGGGTAATGATTACGCCGGCCGTCTTTACTTCCCCAGGACACCCTAACACCCATTTTAGGCTGGATCGACCTGCAACGCCCCATACTATGATAAAAGTACACGTTTAACAATGAATATTCCATTAAATTTGTTCTATATTGCTACCCCACTATGTTAAGTGCCTTTTTGGAGAGCGTGTACTGTTTGGGGGAGCAGATGGATCACCAGTCTGGTGAGATTGATGCAGGGGGGAGTGACGAGAGGTTCTGGCAGATACTCGTGGCTCAGAGGAAAGGCATGACGGACGTTTAATCAGAATGATACTGGCACCATTAGTATCGGAACTTTTCGCTGGCTGCTGAAGATGGGGACAGAGCGCTTATGGGAATGTCCCGAGTGCTGTGATGTCGGTTCTTGAATCAAATCAAATCAAATCAACCAAATACCCCATTATGTTCGTAATTGCACCTCAGACAGATAACTCTCGCTAGATGAGATAGTCAAAAATTTTCTTATTCTATTTTCTGTATTTGTCTTTTCCATGTATAAATAATTTAACCAATTTATGATTACATCACAGAGTGTTTAATCTGTGTTACATCTTGTTTCGTGCGTTGGATAAAAGAAAAAGAACATTTAACGAAATAAGAACAAGAACATGTAACGAAATCCAACCCATAACCTGTTTGTCAGCGATCATTTATTTTCCCATATACTGCGGCGTCCGTGGCTTAGGCTTTGCGAGTCCGACTCGTAATTTCAAAGTACCGCGATCGAAACCCACTGCTGGCTGCGTTGATTTTTTTTTTCATGATATGGGGTGTCGCAGGTCGACCGAGCCTAAAATGGGTACCAGGATGGCTGTCCTGCGAAAGTAAAGACGGCTGGCGTAATGCTGACCCCATTACCGACCTAGTGTGGATGGTCTGTAAAAATATGGGTGCTCTTCCCATATAGTCGGCTCTGTGGCTAAGTCGATGCGAACGCTCCGTAATGCCGGGATGCCAGGTTCGATCCCAGCTGCGGGCCATGCGCCCTGCGTTGGTTTCGACTGTAGTATCAAGAAAGCCGTCCATAAAGCAATGGCAAACTACTGGACAGGGGCTGTTGGGTTGGTTCTGCAACGTCCTGTAAAGGATACGGAACTAACCTTCCCATATACCCCATACGCCTAAAGGCGTGAAAAGGGATCTTTACTTTTTTACTTTACTATGATGGTAATTATTACTATTTTCCGAATCCCAATTAGCAGAAACAACAACCGTAAAAGCATCAGACAAAAATATTATTTTTTTCCCAAAACATCCTGTAGTTTCTCTTAGTGAAGCGTTTCACATTTCACATAATTAGATCACACTATAGTTTAGTTAATTATTTTCTACAGCTTCCTAATGTCTCTAATCTAAAAAAAAAAAAAAAAAACCCAATCTGTGGCGGGTTACTTTCCAAGCTCTTAAACTAGTGAATGCACTATGTGCACTTTACAGAGGGAATTACAAACAGTGAGTCATCATATAGTCTTATAGTAACCCCAGCCTTGCTGGTTAAATGAGAGGATTCGGGGTTTGCCCACATCTTATTCCCTACTGTAATTAATTGTATATTTAAATGTATTAAAGTTATACTAGCTTTTGTTCACTGACACACT